ATTGAACGCCATCAATGGAAGGCCTACACTGTAATTCTTACTACTAGGGAACAGTAAACATACCTCCTGGCAAATGTAAAAAAATCCCCAAAAAATGCATCAAATGAATAAATGACCAAAGAAGAATAAAGATTTAACAAATTTACGATGGTTGAGCGTGGTATGTCCTCTTATTTACCACGATATGACGTCAAAAGTTGGTCAAAATGTTATGGACTCACGAGGTGTTTTTTACTACAAAACTCACAAAACTCTAGGAAATAGACTGCACGAAATCTTGCATGACGCCATTTGTTGGTATGGCCTCTTATTTATGACGTTTTTTAACCAATCAGCGCGCGAGAACATTTACAATTGTGGTAAAAATTATTATTTTTAATGAATAAATGACCTGTACCTATCCTCCTAGTGCCTAAATGGCACTTAGGGTCTTCATAGAGCTCTTCCACCATTTCCTATTGGCCGCAATAAATGACGTCACTGTTCCATAAAGCAAAGAGGCAAAGTCTATTTTGGCATCCTTTTATTTCCAAAAAAAGATTCCCAGAAACTAGATGTTTGTGAAGCTGGAAATCTTTTGATAAGTTGAAGTCATAAGTAACATATGCCATTACAGGAGAGCAATGACAACACAAGAAATCCAACATGGGCCTGGAAAGCCTGTGGTTAATATTTACACATGTACTGATCCTTACAATGATTTTATTGATGTAGCATGTACAATAATCTTTCTAACTGACTGACCAGCTCTGTGACTGCGCAACTGACTAATTGCCTGACTGACAGATTGCTTGACTGACTAAATAACCCATTATCTTGTACTTACTGACTGATCGACTGTCCAATCCATGGATTGACTGACCTGATAAATGTTAGTGAATTTTTCATTGACTTTAGGGATGAAAGAATCACTAAAGTCAATCAATCCCTCTTTCTTTCTTTAATCCCAGGCAAGCCAAAGCCACAGAGTCCATAGATAACTCTTTAGTCCAGGCTCTTCAAAACAGGGTAAGTATTGAATAAATTTAATGATGAACCAGTTTTTAGTACAATAGTTTACCCCAAACTATAGAAAATGAAAAAACTATAGAAAAAACGAATGGCTCTTTGAATATTCCACAGTATGTCACTGAAAACTGTTGTTATAACTTACTGGGCCCGGTTGTGCAGAGGGTGGATGGCACTATCCAACGGATAAATTTTATCCACTTGATAAATTTATTGGATAACAGCATTGACTTATCCAGTGGACAAGAATTTATACATTGGATAGCAGATACCTAGATACTGTACTGTATACATCTTGAGTACCCTTTTCAGAGCTTTCAATATTTTTTGGAGTAAGTGGTTATTCCCAAATATTAGGGGGCAATAAATGGAATTTTAGACCCCTTTTTTATTAATTCTGTGTACTATTAAGTCGAAAATAGCCGGCAGTTTAGGCAGAAGTATCCAGCGATAAATCACCGGTTGCCGCCTTCTATTGAAAGCTCTGCTTTTTTCTCTTTATAGATACAAGAGTTGGAAAAGGAACTCAAACTGAAATCGAAAACATCAATGAAACACCAACCCCTTACTAACGGCAACGTCAGCTTACCACAAGAACGATATTTCTCATTAGAAGCAGATAAATTTGAACGATTAGCTGCAGGTTCGTGCCATTTAAGGTTTAATTTTTTATTTGATTTGCTATTTATTTTTATTATTTTTATTTATTTATTTATTCATTGATTGATTCATTGATTGATTCATTTATTTATTTATTTATTTATTTATTTATTTATTTATTTATTTATTCATTCATTTATTCATTTATTTATTTATTTTAATTCAGTCATTTCTGTTTGTTTTTTCTTTTATCAGCCAAGACATCAGAAGGGTTTCAATTGGATCTGGATATCATTCCTGCTACAGAACCCCTCAGCAGTAACTACAACCTCGATAAAAAGCGACTTGCAGAAGCACAAAATAAAGCACACGAGCCAACAAGAGCTAGCTGGGTCTGCTCTAATGAAGAGATAGATGTGAGTAATAGCCTTTTCTTTTGGTTAGTTTAATTAAACCAATAAGCCATTTTAGTGTAGCTTGAGCTATACTATACTATATTTCCCATTTCAGACTACATGTCATTTTCTTGAGAATTAGATTCTTTGTTTAAGTTGTATTCATATTCATGTCTTCTCATGCACAGCCGTTACAGTCAAAACGGCTCAACCTGACCCCCAAAGGTTCCATAAATGATTTCATTATTCAAATATTGAAATTTATTATTCTTTCTGAGAATACGAAGAATAATACTGGATTATTCCATATAAAGAACAACAATCAATCAGAATTCAAGTTTTGAATCAGTTATTATTTTGAACCCTGAGTCTTCATATTATCAGAAAGAATAATAGATTTAATATTGGAATAATGAAACCATTAATGGAGTCTAGGAGGGTAAGCTTGAGCTGTTTTGACTGTAAACAAAGAAATGATAATCTAGGGATCATGGTTCCGACTCCCCTTAGTTACCGTTGCTATGTCCCACAAGCTCATCAAATTAGCTAGAAAATCTCGGTATATAGAGCTCCGATCACGGAAAATTGATTATAAATTGTTTGAATTGTTCATTGTCCTTCGCATGAAAATAAAATCAATTTGTAATCCTTATATTATATTATTTAAAAAAGATACTGTGTAGTTGTTTGTGGGACAAGATTTTAATACATTCCACTGGGAAAATGGCTGCAACGGTGATTGGTTTGCTATTGTCTGAGTCGGAACCATAAATTGATACTTGGTCTGAATATAGAAAACATGCCCAAAATGAATAAGGTCCATGAGTTTGCATAAGAAAATAGATAACTACAAAAAGCCTTGGTTGACCTAACTTCACACCTACGTTCCTCCACAGATCTTTAAGAGTCAGGATGATGATGATGATGACGAGGAAGACGAAGATGACACTGATGCAAGAGGACGACAAACCACTAGTCCTTCCAGGCAGCTAGGTCCAGGATTCGCTCTTCCTGGTTTCCCACTGGGAGGTTTTCAGCTCAAAAAGACGGGAAAGAATCTCGTGGACGAATCGTTGAGTGAAACCAGCCCATCTCAAGCACAAGGTAGTGAATATTATGCATGTAGTGTTGTAAAATAATACAGGTGAAGAGGGGGGATCATAAAGTCAAAGAATCTACATTGTATTAGCTCAAGGATTTTTTAAGAAAAGCCAGCTCTTGCCAAAACGTCATATAAGTGATGTTTGCTAATGAGGGTTACAGAGTGATTGGTTAAACAGGAGGTTAAATTCTTGGGGAAAGACCAATGCAAGGTAGACTAGCCATTCTCAGCCCTTCTAGAATGTAGCACTGAAATGCCTTGCCATTGTTTTCCTGCGACCCATCCCATTGCCAAGCCTTTTTTCGGCTATGATAACCAGAAAGAAAATATTTTCAATTTCATATATTTTCAATTTATAAATATGTTTTTTTACACTTTTTTTTTAGATTCCTCTTTTAATTTATATGTACATATATATTTTTTCATTTCCTTTTTTATATTTTGATTATTGTAAACAGTGCCTTTGGACTAAAAGGATTAAGGCGCTATATAAATCTTATTATTATTATTATTATTATTATTATTATTATCATTATTATTATTGTCCGTTGAATTTGTCCGTTGAAGTAACTATTTGTTATTTATTTTTGTCTCCCAGAGCTAAGGAGCAGCTATCCTTTAGCGATGAAAGATCGCTCCCAGAATTTGGTGGTAGAAAATTTACTGGAGAAGCAGCTATCAAAAACCAACGCCAAAGTGACGTCATTACCCAGTGCTCTGGACCAAGAAGTAGGACGGCCGAAAAATGGAAAAAACAACTCTGATGAGTGTTTCTCGGGATCGGCGAACTCTCTTGAAGAGATTGAAGAAGCTGCTAGAAGGGTAGGTATTTACTATTTTATTAGGGCTGAATCTTTTATCTAGGGCGTAATGTTTTCCCATTTCTGGCCATATCTTTGTTTAACGGTTGCATATTAGAAGATAGATGAATATGGATACAACTCAAACAAAGAATCTTATTCTTAAGAGAATACCACATGATCTGAAATGGGAAAACCTTACTGGCCCACCGTAAAGCCGTCTATTAGCAATATTTATTTACTTACATATAAGCAGTAAACAAAACTCTATTCAACGGACACATTTACTAAGCATACACAAGCCAAGGTCCTAAAAGTGTCCACTTAATATAGTTGTTCGATTACACGTTACTTCATCGCGGCCTCTCGGGGGAGCGTTGGTTCCATTTAACAAGGGATCTCATTAGCATCCAGTGTTAACATGGCCGCCATATTTTCATCTTTTGACGCCCTTGGGAATGCGTTCAACCCGGCAATTGCCAACTTTATTTCTCAGATTGACTCGGACTTGGCTTCTTCACAAGCTTCATCACGTGGCTCATCCCCATTCCTTCCACCAGCGATGCCTTTACTCAAAATGAAGACAGTACCAGTATCTGATATGACGTACAGTGAATCGGCTGTTGATGTCCCCCCGGAAATATCAACAGACTCTGATTCAGAAAATGCTGACAAGATTGGTAAGGAAACCCATTATTGTCTTTTTGTTGGGACTTTCTCAGTTTCACTTTGTTTTCAAATGCATAAATTTTGGCATGGGATGCTACTACTTTGAGCTTCTTAAAAGCTCCTGGATTTTAAAAATTACTCCTAAAAACCATCTTATTGAAAATAACCAAGGTGTTATCATTTTACTTCTCTTACGTAGGAGACAGTCCTGAAGAACTGCTCTCATTCAGCCCTTCACCAGATAGTCCATATATTGGTAGAGGATCATCTCGTTTATCGAACACGTGGTTGTCCCGCCCTGTGCAAGAGTGGGATGTGTACCAGGTGAGCAAGGGGAGTTCATTAAGGGTATTAAATTGGGGAAAAAAAGAAAGTGAAAAATCAGTGCACGTTCTCGATGTCTTTCACGCCGTATTTTTGAGGAATTTTAGTTGATCTGAAGGAGCCCTAGAATTCATTGTTCACTAACTTTTTGCGGTATTTCCTCGTAGGTTGGTATGTGGTTAACGGGCTTGGAACTCGAAGAGTATGTCATCGAGTTTGCTAACAAAGAAATTGATGGAAAACAGCTTCTTAATCTAGATAACTCAAAAATGAAGGTAGGTGTATATGGTATTGTATCTTTATTGGAAATGTTATAGGGCCCCTATTCATATCAGGTTTTCCCTGACTGAATGGGCCAACCTGTTGAAATAATGGCATTTATCTGGCAATGAAATGTTCGTTTTGTCTGTTGTTATTCGCTTCAGTGTCAGTTGATACTTTATAATACTGCTATGTATAAACAATGCTCCACCTATTTGGAAGGGAATTACAGTTTCTAGCGTGCGTTTGTATGCTACAATAGATGTCATTTTTTTACGTTTGAGTAACAGTTGTGATTTTTTTACTCACCTTTAATAAAATTGCCAATATCTCATGAATACCTTGTTACCTTGTCTGTGCGGTATTCGCATTTCTTTGTCTATATGTCCCTCCACCCTCCATCCCTACGTCCATCCGTCCATCCATCCGTCTGGTCAGCCTGTTCTCTATCCGGTTATCTATCTTGTCAGTCCTAGTGTGTAATGTGAAATATTCATATTATATTCCTTTCTAGACTATGGGCATCAACCAGAACGCTCGAACTCTTCTCAAAAAGCGGATAAAAGAACTGAAGGCTCAAACGGGGAAAGAGGGAAAAGCAAGGAAACAGAAAGAAAAGGAACTGAAATCAGGGAAAAAAGACAGCACACCAACAAGCCTACAGGATAAGTTCGAGAAGCTTGGCTTCATAAAGAAAGGAAAGTACACAGTAAATAGTCCTTGAAGGAGATAAATGAGTTATAATAAGAGCAGATTTAATGTGATGGGGAAAGTACAGAACATACATGTCACGTGATGTGCTTGTGCATTCTGATTGGATAGTGTCGTACTGTGCCATATAGTGTACATAGTGTATTGCTATGCTGTGCTATGTAATGCTGCGTTGTGCTGTCACCTCCATGTGTCGAATTGTCTTCAAGTGTTATACTCGAATATTACGTATTTTCCTGCATTTTGATTTATCCTGGCAATCTCCATTTGAATGCAATACAAAAACCCAAACCAATGCAACTGTCATTCCCCACTCACAAGAAATCTGCTCGTAGTTCCAACTAAACTTTTTCATTTTTCTATTGCATCTAGATTTTCCTTCTCTAGTTAGTAATTGTATCTTTTATAGCCGGAAATCCAAGGTTTCTACACCTTGTATTACTAAATATCTTCTTGTAAATTGTATTGGCTCTCAATTTAATGAATACTCTTCGATACGCCATTTTCCAAATCTACGTAAAAAAACGCCGAGATAAAAAAAAAGGAGATAAAAAAACGTGTTTTTCTTGTGCCTAAATGCTCAATTTTTACTCGTTTTATGCGTTCGTTTAAATTCCGATACTTCGTTATGTTGTTCGTGCGTGATTTGAATTTTTTTATGTTGTACTGATACTTTCGTGTTTGTTGTGCTCTAGTGCTCAACATTGATTTCTTTTACTCTGTAATATCATTTTGTGCTTTTATCAGTCAACTCCTATTTTTTTTGATCGTTCTTTGCATTTCATTTCGACTACCTATCGTTTTCATCGTTCAAACCTAGTCAGCCTTATCCTTGTTTGTTGATTGGTGTATTTTGGTAATTGCTCAAGCCATATTTTCTTTTACTTTTATATCCGTAATACACGTAGTCTTTCATAATTTTTAAAAGTATTTGCCATTGTCTTGAAGAAATTTTAATTGCGCTATAGAATATGGATAGATCTGATGTTAGAGCAGCGAAGGTGTGCTGTTACAGTACATCATGTACATATTATAGTTTTTATTGTAATGAACGCTTGGGCTTCGTTGACTTGAAGATAGGACTTTTAGGCCCGTTTTACTCCTTCGACGCAAGTAGAGGCATACGCATAGACGTGCAACAAAAACTTTATTTTTTCTCTACCTTAAAAGAACAAGTTAAAATTCGTACCGTAACAATAAAAGTCGGCCTGCGTCTGCTTATGCCATTTTGGTTTTGGTTGCGTCGGTTGTGAAAACTGCATAGCATCTGTCAATCATCGTTTTATGCCACTAGAGGATTCGTCGGAGGCTGCTATCGACAATTCCTGGTAGCCCGGCATGTTTGTCATGCGTACGCCTTTTCTGAATTCGATAAACGAGACTTATCCTGGTCAAGCGTGGGCACAAACTCCATTGCCGGGTTTCGTATTGAGTGGGAGGACTGGGGAGACTGGACTACCGCTGGCCGTACTGGATGAAATAAACTTTTTGAACATGTGTAGTTGTATGATACCATTGAGCTCGAGAAATACAGCCCGATCTGCCGAATGAACAAAAATAACTGGGAAATAGAGATGTTTATGACATCTTTTTCACGATTGTCCAGTTTCGATCCAGTCCTCCCACGATATGTAACTCGGCAGCGAAGCCAGACCAAGATACCATGTTCTGCGCAAGTCCAGCGGTTGCTAGTTACTAAGCAACAGCTATAAACCTAGAGAACCGTAAAACAATTGTCGGTCCCAGCGTCCTTTCTTCATGTTAACGGAGTTTTAAGCATAATTTCTATTAATAAGTAGTAATCACATAATAGATTTAAAGGGGGTCCAATATGGGAATTGTTTGGGGTTTGACCGAGATAAATAATTGGGAAAGGTTGGTAATTGTTACCACAGGAAACCCAATTGAGCGTCTGTTAACGGGGTATGCATTGACTTTCATTGTAAGTATAAGAATTATTACGATCAATTATTAGAAATGGATAAGTGATTTACTTATAACCACAGGTAACCCACTCATGCCCTACTAGTCAAAAAGACCTGTGAAAAAAAACTTTTTTTACGTAGGAATCGGGTAGCTTTTTTCTTCCTTCATACTTTTAAGTCAAAAATAATCATAAAAATATATCTGTGGGACAGATCAATAATTTATAATTCAAAATTCAGATTTCCTGTCAATTTGAATTAAGGCAAATTATAAAAATACGAGTGTGGTATTTTCCAGTAAAACACTAATGTCTGTGTCTATATAATACATATTAATAAGAACCGTATTAGAAAAGTTGAAAATATCAAAGTACTACTTTCTGGTTGAATTTTCATGTTTTTCAGTTCGATTCTTTCATTCTCATCTCACCTAAAACGTTTTTTTATATTACAGTCAATAGACCTTATAGGCAAAGCCTTTGTACCCATCCCAACACTGTGGCTCATGCGTGAGAAAGGTCTGTTGAGGAATAGACCCCTTGCACTAAATCCCTACCTGGGGCTCAAAACAATTGAAAACATTAACATCATAAAATATTTTAATCCTCAAGTGAAGGGATTTCTTTTGTTTTGACCACCAGAGTGTTTCTTCGAATTGGATTACTGGGTTGCCTGTGATGAAATGATTACAGTTGGTTCAGGATTGGGCTTCCTGTTTTATGCACATAGGATGAATATTGAAATATAAATAAGACTGGTACCGACTACGTGATGCAAAGGATTGTAGGCCTTCATTTGGGAAATTGAGATGGTGAATCTATTTGATCTTTTTCCAAATTTGTTCCCACAATCCTTTGCGGTACTAGTCCTCATGTCTTCATTTGAAGAGGAATATATCACGTGATCAAATTTAGGCCTCTCGGCTTCGTTGCCATGACTCCATAATGCCGGCGTATAATTCTTTACCATGTAAATCGTAAGCCCAGAAGTAGCTTTATACTGGCTAAGTTTAGGAAAAACCTCGGGGTGCTCCTTCAAATCAAACTAACGGTTGCCATGATAACGTCAATACTACGAGTACCGGAATTCTTTTCGTTTGTCTGTTAATCTTAAAAATCTTGTTACTCTTAACAAAGATGAAGTTTTCGAATTCATTAAAATAAGACGGGGTAACAATAGCTAAAAGACTTTGGCAACAAGAAAGTGATGCGTAACTTCGTAAGGAATTCTGGTAGTGATAGTGGCATTACGTCATCATGACGCATAATCAAATTGTTACACAATCTCATTGATTTTTACGTAAATAGTCCAAAAGTGAGTGTTTCATCCAGTCCAAAAGACGAAAACATGGGTTATAAAGCGTGTTGCAGGCGGAGTTTGTGAATAAAGGATGGATAAAAGATTTTTATAATTGCAAATTATTATAATCATACCAATAAGCCTAATAAATAAATAATAATAAACCAGGTTTTAAATTAGCTGTCAAGCAAGTAATTGTGGATAACGCCAATCATTAAATCATATTTTTGTAAAAAGCATTTTCGTCTTAGATTAACATTTTCTTATACTAACTCGTATATTTTTTTGAATCAATAAGTGACATTTTTGTTCAACAAATGTGTTGCGAGCATAACTTTTCCTGGGCATAACGCTTTCCCACTTGTCACACTAGACCACATGTCATTTTCTTGATAATGAAGATTCTTTATTTGAGTTGTATCCATATTCATGCGCAACTGTTAAACAAAGAAATGATACTCATGGGAATGACACGTCATCTGAAATGGGGAACTATTATGACCATGCTAAATAGGTCTCCGTCTCTTAAGGCCAGAAAACGATAATGAAACTATGTGACATACATATTATACAAAGGTAGTTAAATTACATAATAAAGATTTATATGAATGCAATAATGTTGTTATAAAAAATCAATAAAAATTGATCTTAATCTGACTCGATCCTCTGTTTTGTTCATGGTTTCTATTGTTTTATTTCCTTTTCCTTTTTTTGGGTTCTTCGGTTTTCCTCTCTCCGCAAAACCTAACACGCTGAATCCCCATTCGATCTGTAAAGTGAGTTAGCCCTGCCATGACTTTGATCAACCCAGAGGTTGTTTCAGCGCTCGATCTGTGAAGTGAGTTAGCGGTGCCCTGACTTCGATCAGCCCAGAGGTTGTTTCAGGGTTAGATCTGCGAGTTATATAGCCGTTCCCCTGACTTGATCAGCCCATAGGTTGTTTCAGGGCTCAATCTGTGAGTTATATAGCCGTCCCCTGACTTTGATCAGCCCATAGGTTGTTTCAGGGTACTTGCTGAAACCCAAAAGAGAAGTCGGTACTGCTAGTATTCATTCATTTCATCACCCCGAAACACACATACACACGCTCCCGTACCTCTCATACAACATTTTGTTAGCAATGATTGTCAGCTATAAAAAGCATTCCTTTCATTTTCTCCAACGTAACTTTATTGTTAGGTTGATTCGGAAATATTTGTAATCACGTGCTCGTTTATCAGTGCACGCTCGTGGATAATTCGTATGTCGGTCTAACGGGGGAGGGGGTGGTTGGGCCATTACATGATTAAGGGGAGAAAGGGCATTGCAGGTATTTTATGGGCACATTTTTTTGGTGTTTGCTTGATATTCCTTTTTTTTCATAGGTGAAGTGCTTGTTCGACATTTCTGTTTTGATTAACGCACCCCCCCCCCCCCCCCCCCCCCCCCCCCTCAATTATTTAGTGGTCCGTTCCCAATATTTGATGTTTTTTTAATAGGATTACGCGCCCTTCAACTTTAGTAAACATGTGAATGTATAATCAAAG